TCACAAGCAATATCTTACTTTATTCATATGAAAAAAGTTTTCCGGCTAAATTAACGTCACACTTGTCTGTCGATCTCGATTCGAAGCATATTTTACTACCATACATTGTCAAGAGTTGACAACCATTATATTTTAAACTCCATATGATTTATATTAGCAAAATAGCTGCCTCATTAGATAAATACTGAATTCACCTTTTTTAAATAGCACAACTTTTTTATGCAACTTTACTTGACACACTCTAACTCCTGAGGGTTTTCACAGAAGACTGGTAAATATTCTCTTCATGGCAAATTATTTTTGCAGTTTTCAACTAGTGAATTTTATATTTCTTGCCTCAATACACGGTGGTGCATATGATGACAATGACCGGTTGTATCTGGCTTAGAATGAAATGACATTGTTCGACTAGTGATTGTTGACAATGCGGTCCATGGAAAGCATTTCATTTTACTTGGTGCTTACGGTTGACGAGCTCAAAAAATCGTGAAACACACTTATTTAGTTTCACTGTTAGCCACCATCAGCCGAACTTCATCAAGTTCACTTCAATACATCATCGAGAATCTGCTTTGGTCACTGCAGATAGATCGAAATCCAAAGTAATTTCAGTACAGCAATAATTGTGGGAGCATTTTATTTACATTAAACAATATCTGCTGTTTTACATGAACATTGGATATTGTTCACCGTTTAAGTAAAACCGGAGTACCACTTGTTCTGTAAAGCATACCTCACAGCTGTAATAATTAATAAATGCTATGTTTTTAGTAGTAGTAACTTGAAAGCACAATCATACTGAATGTTGGCAAAGCAGTCATTAACAATCCTGCTCAAAAATGAAGTTATCTGTAGTAAAAATCCACGTCTCCCTTTCTTAATAATTTACTTTACCTCTTTAAAGCATCTTATAAATATTTAACGAGGTTTCTGAGACAAAATGCTTGCTGGTGTTGCAGTTTTGTATAACTTAATTGCTTTTAAATGCATGTTTTTTTTCTTTCTTTTGAAATGATTACAGAAGACATATTAAACTCCCTTTGTTTCATTAACCAGTCTAAATAGTCGCCTTTAAATCAAAGTAACCTACTCATTCGTATCCCGTTGTAGGCGTGACAGTATTCAAGTAACATACGAAACCTAAATGGTTGAGCAGATTGTAGTAGTATTTCGGGTAGTAACAGTTTAGTGTGCAGTGATTAGTGGAAACACCTACAGGATATTCATTTTACAAATTAAGATAAGGTTATTTGTTCAAACATTTCAACTGTCAGTGATTAATCATTCCAGCTGTACACAACAACACTTAAAATACCACTAGTTATTCCTTAAAACGAAAAAAAGCATCATAATTTGAAGATTTACAAAAAATCAACTTAACAAATTCCAGTATAACTTACTACAGCTGCGAAATGATAGTTGCCTAAGCAGATAAAAAGTACAATGTTAGGGATAAGAAATAGAACATTATTTTTTGAAAACTGAAGCAAATATGTATAGAAACAGTCACGTCAGAACCTATCGTGACCACAAGAAGAGTTAATGATATTTCCAAAATACAGTTGCTTTATAAACTATAAATTTTTTTAATAGACTACTGATTTAGCGTTATTAAAATCTATAAGGCATTCAACATTTACCCTCTCCTGTTACCTGTGTTTTCCAGCTAAAACATGAGAGGAATAAGGAAACTTAGATTCTATTGTGTCATAATACAAACACGTTTGCTAGAGAGTTATCATTCCGGTTTGAATTTCATAAAAGAACAGATAATACACTCGAATGATATGGATGAAAAACACTTGAGTATAAGTTTCTTGAGTTTGGAGTAACACTGAAATGTTGTTTTGGAAGGTAACTGAAACAGAAATATGCATCTCTTTCCCACACTTGGTGACAGAAAGTTGAAGTCTAGTCCTGTTTTCCACTGTGAAATGTGCCGCTTGAAATGGTCACAAACTGTCCTAGTTTCTTAGAAAAATGAGTAATTACTTATCGTTAGGACGCTGATTGATCCTGCTGTGGCTAACACCATTGTCGTCTTCGTTTCAAGACAAGTAAATATTCGAAAATTTAAAAAGAAAAAGATTTTTTCTGTGAAAAAGTTATTGACTAGATTGTTGTTTCAGGTTCACTTATCCCTTAACAGTGAAAACATGCTGTATCTCTGCAGTCTGGATATCATAAATCAATACCTGAACTATGAAAGGTATCATTAGAACTTTTAACAGTAAAAATGCTTAAAATGTCTAAAACCTAATAACTTTATTACTCAGTAACACCTCAGTGTGAGCGTTTGAGGCTCCTATGTACATTTGGCTTACAAATCACAAATTAAACAATGGCTATTTTTTTCTGTATTTCACGATTAAATATCATCTATATGTGGGAAAAAAAGTGAAGCAGAAAAATGTAACTCAATGATGCGATTATTTAAATACACCTTAACACAACAGTCATAACAGAATTCACAAAATCTTTAGATGAGATTAATCCCAGAGTAATGGGAGAGTTTTTTCTAGACCTTTTGATGTCGCACCATCAAATTATCATGCATAAATTCGTAATGAACACATTACAGTTTAGGCAACGATTTAAGATTTAATTAGTTGCATTTTTGTGCAAAAACGTTTCATAATTTTCTCAAATGTTATTAATCAGCGCACTTACTAGTTACGGCTTAAATGTCTGACAAGATAAGACCATTTTTAACATTACTAATCCTCATATTCAGTTTAAGACAATTTTTGTGAGCTTATAATTTGAAAGATGGTCAAATTCTGTTCAGTGAAGGTATTTAAATGATATACGTCATCAAACTACCTAAACTAAAAATTTTCACCTTGAATATGTTTTATAGAATAAAGGAAAAATGCTTTAAATTCTAGGATGGGATTATTTTTGCCTCACTTCACACACTGAATATTTTCAAGGCCTACCAGCATCATATAAGAGACAGTTTTAACAGTTTTGCTCAAAAAAGTATTCTCCACCTAAATTAACTACGCATGCATATCACACCCAACGAACTGTGATTGTTTTAATTATTATTTAGAACCTCAAGCAAAAATTTTGCATATTTCCTTCACGTATTTTTATCAAAGTAAAGGATCTGTTGCAGTAATTCTCGAGAGCAGTAGCAAAATAGTTTCTGTCTAGTGAACCTCACGTCACATGTCCATAAAGAAAACATGTTTATCTGATCCATACTTATTCTCTAAAGATTGAAAGCACTCAACCACGTATTTGGCGTCCGGAGGCAATATGAATAAAAATAAGTATATGGTAGACTTGGTTGTCAGGAGACAAATAACTGCACACTTTAAACTTGATATAAATGAATACTATCCATAAAGTTTCTAATGTTCTTAAACTATAAATATTGTTTCTTTACCTACTTTCTTGGACATTTTCAGGTAAGATTTCCTTTAAAATATCTATCTTCTTTATAAACAACAGAACTTCCACAGTCCATTTTGTAATTAAAATGTAAAGTGGCATAGCGAACAATCTCTTGTAAAGTGGCAATAATCCTGACATTACCTTCATTATTCATCAGAAGCTGTTTTTTCCACATGAACATCAGTGGCAGTCAATGCGTTAAAAATCTGTTCTTTCATCTAACTTTCATATTTATGTCACGTGTTAACTATGCCTTACATTCATTTTCAGAAGAATGAAAAAGTCTATAGTTTTAGTGCAAACTAAAAGTTTCATTTACACACTGGTCTGAAACTACCTAATCATCCTAGAGAAATGTGACTAAAACAGTGGCTTTTTCTCTACTGAAAATAATCACGTATATCACTTGTTTTAGTTGCTGAAGAGAAATTAGCTACACTGTAATGCTTCATAATGACTTGAATGTTTTTAGCATACGTGTCATTCTACAGAACCTCACACTCTTAAAATAGATGCGTTTCTTCAGGCATCATTTGTGCATGTCATAGAGTGTATAGAATTTATTGCTTCAGATAAAGCTATCGTGATACTATGAACAAATGTAAAAATAAATGTCTTTCATAGTATTCGCTTTCAGTTGTACTGGATGGTACGTAGTATAGTGTATAACAGAAGAGATAAAGGACGGAGACGATTTTCTCTGTTTAACGGTAACAACTTTCCAGTATCATAGAACCTTATAAGTAACTCTGTATTAAAATTAACACTAAGCGTTTGCTTACCTGCATTTGCTGCCAAAGCGCATAATGAATATTCTGTAGTCATGGATAATGTATAACTTTAATGTGTAGTCAAAACCCATAGTGACTGGGAAAAAGAACCTATTTAAAATGTAACTAATCATCGCTCTTGGTGAAGGATACGAAGTTTGGATATTATCTTGTAAATAACAGCTCACCAATAAATCCTCAGTCAGCTTTGATAAGCAATTTGTTAGTCAGTTAACTTAGATGCAATGCCTCCATGCTGGTAGCCATTTGTTCACATTTCAATATGGTATTAACACAATGTCTTTCTATCGGATGACTTTGAAGCTGATTAGAATAAAACAGCGTGACATTACTCAATGCTATTTATACATAATAGAATGCGTGAATCTCTGTGATATACAGTAACAACACTAACGCTTCATGTGATTATTTAACGATAAAATATAAAAGAGCAGAATACACGCATTTATGATATGAGAAATAGGAAACCATACTTTTCTATTTTCACTAAAATATTTGGCACCTAATTATTCCAGTTCAGTGTACTCGAAAGGTTGTTTCTTGACAAATGTCAAGATAAAAAACACTATATTTTTGTTTATACACATGTATATAGAACAGGTAATACACAATAAGACATAAATATTTACACATTACTTTTGGGTGTGAAATTTTTTTATTGTTTTACTTTGTTAATCAGTAAATCAGGCTTAACAGACAACAAACCAAGTGCGTAAACATAGGCAAATAGATAATTATATTAAATTTATTTAGTGAATAAAATCAAGCAAATACCTCTGACGATAAATATCAATGGAATGTACAATTCACGGCTTCTTGGGAATAGAAAAATGAAATTTACTTCTTGAATGTATTATTCACTTTGTCAGGTTTCCCTTTTCACACTGCTGATCTAAAATACTGTTATAATTTCTTTTTCTAAGAATAATTTCAAGATGAATATTCTTTTTCATTCTTATCGTTTATGTCGTTTATTATTGTCGATGGAACCAACCTATCACCGTCAATACCATTTAAGCTGTCATCTGTGCTGAAGTTAAAAATATTATTTGATGTTGATATACGTAGAATATTAGTCTGAGTACTATTTCTTACATAATCACAATTTATTAAATTTGTACCTACATCCAGTGGAATTTCAGAGTTCAGTAATTTAGGCTTATTCAAGTAGCCTCTTTTTCTACACATTAACATGTTCATAATGTGGACGCGGAAACGTGCACCAAAAGCCAAATAAAATATCCAATTATTTTGATTACCAAAATAAATTAATGAATTGAAAAATTGTCTTAATGTCCATGATACACACTGATCACCAGTTATTTTAGCCGCTGCTCTTCCTTCGCTACCTTCACCATCAAGTAATTCAAATAATAAAAACAGCGGATTAGTCAGAAGTGTTGTCACATTCATTGTAAGCAGTAGCAGAGATGCTCGACTTTCTCGATTGTATCCGATAGTACGGTTGCGCTTTTGAACAACTGTTGATACGCGTACTAAACGATTGCGTTTACGACGTTGTCGACGTACTAAAGAAGCTATTACAGCCGATGATATTAACATTGTAATAAAGGGAATTACACGAAACAGAATCAGGTCTAAATTATACACCAGTTTAGTTAAATCTATATTTTCGTTTGTACTGCCAAATAATTCAGAAGAGTTCCTTCGCTCACAAGAAACCATGGCTTCGTAATTTATTGAGTATGTACCATTCTCACTGTTGTTTAAATTGATAAATATATTTGACGAAGTTGGTTTCGATGAAACAATTGTGATTAGGATACCTGATAAAAACGAAAATGTTATCAATAGACTTATAGTGAAACGTGTAGCTCTACCAGTAAATATAATTCTTGTCTTTAATGGTGAGATAACCGACGCTAGTCTTTCTATAGATAGCCCAGTTTGAAGTAAATTTGATGTCCACAACAGGCAGAGGATTGTTATTACTCGAATCAGACATGTGAACCGTCCAAATATCTTGCCCAGTATCACATGATATTCGTGCGTAAATATTACCTCAGCGTACATATCATTAGCAGCAATTAATAAGATAAAAAAGTCACTAGCCGTCAACGTGATGAACCATGCTCTTGTTGTTGATGCGAATACACGTGGATGCTTTAATAACACTAGAAAACATAGTCCACTAAATATTATTCCAACTACATTAGCTGTTATCATGTACCATGAGAAGAAATACCATATAAATCCATCGACAACATAACGACTAGAATGATTTAATGGACAAACCTCTGATAACATACCGTTCAGTATTGAAAGTCGAAGTTTCGCTGATCTACGTTAAGTGTATGTATCAACTGAGATGTTATTATCAATTAGACAAATGAATCAATATTAATTCCGTGTATCTCATGAATTTTTCGTGGAGGATATATCCTTTAAATCTTGTAATCCACTATTCATAGATGAAAAATAAATAAATATTTTTAGAGATAAATAAAATCAAATATGAAGAATTGACAAAATATATTAGAATAAAACACGATTTTCATCTAATCAGATAACCAACAGAATTTTTTATTCAGTACTGACAATCCAATAATGAATAGGTTAGATGTTAAGAACTGCCTGATTCTGATTGGCCAGAATAAGATAAATTACGTAGGGGAAGAAATCAAAATGTATAAGCAGGTAACTTTGTGTTGCGAAAGTTCAAACGATTCTTTATTTGGTTCTACTTTTTTTAAACTAGGTTTAATTAGCTTAAAAACCAGTCGACATTTCAAATTTATTAGTCTTTGGATGAAAACCCAGGCTCTACAACAAAAATGCTGACAAAATAACCTTAGGCAACAACAAGAGATTTATCATTAATAGTGCTCAAGACTTGTACGGTGAAAAATACTAGTTTATTAGTCGTACTTTACTTCAGGGTGTGTATGGGGACACTACTCCTGTGACTCTCAAGGCATACATGTTCTGTTTGTACTGTGATTGAAATTGTATGTATAAATATATACATATTGTTTCAACTACGGTTATCTCCAGTAGAAAATTCATATCTCCTGTCTCATAGACATTTATTGCCAGAAAATGGCGGTTGAAACACCGACAAGGCTTACAGTAAGGCTATTAAGATTACTGTTCCAACACTTGGAGTTTGACAGTGCACAGACAGTTTCCTATTAGTTCTTGGCAGTCATTGACTAAGTATTCCCGTTAATCCTTGATCTGTGTGTATCGTCATTATCAGCTGACATCATGAATTACTTATTACACTAAAATCACAGATTTTTTTCATTTCTCTTCATCCATTTCAAGTGCTGCCGTCTCAAAACAATTGTCTACCAGCTAGTCATTTTGCAACTAGAATTTGAGTATTACAAACCATGTTTATAAAAAAAATTGAGTCATTTAATTAAGAGTAATAAGCAAAATATTTTTCAACATCAAAGAGTCAGGCTTGCAAAACATTTTAAATAATTCCAAAAATATTTTTTTCTTCATCCTCTTTTTTTGTTTTCAGGAGAAATTAATGTATCACATAAGTCAAGAGTGATGATATAAATGAAGTAGGAGACAGTGGCTTTTTATTCCTGCATGGACATTCACTTCTTCCTGGCAATTTTTTAAGCGTGAAATGATCTCGTTGTGAGTGAAATCAACTAAATATCATTGTAAACAGCTGTAACAGTAATTCATATTAGCATAACATATTTCTAGAAGTTATGTGTGTCAGTTGAATAGAATACTAAGAAACACAGATTTCGTGCAGATTTACAAATTACTTTGTCAGAAATTATAAGTTTACGCAATTCATTAATTATACAGAGTTCTAAGTGCATTTGACGAAAAATAAGGGAAAATTATCACTAAAATATAGAGAATACATTTGTTTACTTCATGTGAATCAGAATGCTTCTAAATTTTTGCATCACAGACTTTTATATGAAGTCATTATTATGCTTATTACTAGTAATGCACGTTTTCATTATCAGTATTAATAATAAATACTAGTTCAACTGTTTTGACTAGGTAAATGCCACATAAACAACGCAACACCTTTACAATTAAAAGCGTTCTCTGAGCTGGTTGGTTTAGTCGCGAAGCTTTCGTCGTCCTTCCGGACAACATCTTCAGCGCCATATTTAGCACGAAGTGAAATAATTTAAATTTCCTCATGCGTGATGTAATTGCGTCTCCTGGTTACTATCTTCACATATGTATTGACCACTTTCTATTGACTAGGATTTTAAACTTTTTGGTCATCTGATTTACTTTTTATTAATTGGTATATTTCATCTATATTAACGTGTTTGTTAATCGCATTTTCGCTTGAGTACCAGGCCTCTAGGAATTCTCTGGCACTTTTCGTGTTTCCTCTGTTTAAGATTTTGACATGATCCCAATCAAACTGATGACCATAGTTGTCTGCATGCATTGATACTAAAGAATACATATCATGTCTTTTCACGGCTGATTTATGTTCTTGGATTCTGATTCGAAGGGGACGCCCACTTTGGCCGATATAATGCTTGTTACAGTTCATACAATTTATTTTGTAGATGGTATTAATTTTATCCCCTTTTTCTGTTGGATCTTTCGGTTTGCATAATATCGAATTAAGCAATTTGACTGGCTTGTGTGCTATATCTATATCAAACGGTTTCAGTACCGTTTTGTTGCAACCATTTCTACTTTTTAATTGTGTGTATTAGTTTTCTCCGTTAATTATCAACCCACTGACATGCTGACACTCAATAATTATTGTTAACAAACAATATCGCCATTTGATTGGTGAATTGCGGTGTATTGTAATAAAATGCTATACTCTAATATATATATATAAGACTAGAGCCAGAGATGAGGGTCTAATTGAACAGTAAATATTTCTTCGCTCATTCCTTCGACTTTCTAAATTGACTTCGTTAAATTTGTTGGCTTTAATTCTTGATAATAGTACTACTAAAGCTCTATGGATGTGATTTTTCTGAAACTAGTTGCTCACCAGTCTTGACTGACTACTAAATCCAATGTGATGACTTCCTTCAGCCACGAGTAATAAATTTGGCAGTTAAAACAATTTAAAAAAGTTCTGAAAATCGTTTTTGCCACAACACTTTGAAACTATTAAGAGGAGATGAATTACCCACAAGGTTGCAAGTACTGATGATGCTAAGGTTCAGTGTTTGTCTCATTCACTTTTGAATGTGGAACAGCGAAATCATTTTGAATATTTAGTACATCAAAAGAAGTTTAGGTGAAATAAGTGGAGTAATACAGATGATCAGTATTGGTATGGGTAAATTCTGTAAGAAAAATAAGCTATCAAAGGATGATCGTTGACATCTAACGACATATTAATAATATTCAACTCCTGACATATTGCTTGTTTTCACTTAAACTTGTAAACATATCACCTAGAAAATTATTTTCTTTTAGTTAAGACCCTACTACTGCATGGAGAAATGAATGTGTCTGGATGCCCTGTATGTGAGTGTATTTTGTAAATATGTCTTTCCAAATATATGTAGGTTAATAACATAATAATTAGAATTTATACTGAAGCTTCCATGCCTTCTTTTTAAACGTTTTGTTCTCATATATTGCACCTGAAACCAGTGGTACTTACAATAATGAAAGATGAACCCCATTATAGATAAGATTTTATTTTGATAAATCACACAGTTTTTGCGAGTTGACCACGGATTGATATCAGTTAGAGAACCATTGAAAACCAGGGAGTACTGGACAGCTGCTGTTTCATCCTAGATTTAGAATCATTGCCAGTACGCACCCACCACGAGGGGTTCGAACCCAGGTCCTTCCGGTTACAAGACAAGCTCGTATACCATTCAGCTACTGGGACCTGATTCAGTGGCTCATGAATTCTAACTTCTACCAATTCGTGATTTAGCACAACTCCAGCCAATGTCGTTGGTGAGACATCCATCCCCACACGTGATTCCCAAACTAGGATGAAACAGCAGCTGTCCAGTACTCCCTGGTTTTCAATGGTTCTCTAACTGATATCAATCCGTTATCAACTCGTAAAAACAAATCTAATCCTTACAAACCAACTATAGAAAATCACACATGTTATAAAGTAATATTGCTGTATAATACTGTGTGATTTATCAAAATAAAATCTTATCTGTAATGGAGCTTTACTCTACCACAGGGCCCAAGTTTTATACTTACATCGAAAGATGGACCGTTAATACTCCATAATAAATGAATGCCGACAACACTATGCTGTATGAGCAGACTGAAGAAAATATTGAAGTTTAAACAAGAGAAAAGTTGGATATAAAGTTTACATATTGGATTCTGTCACTTTATGAATAATCGGAGTGGTTTAATAGTGTGAAATATTCCTATATCATGAATTAAAAGTCAGTCTGAACTATGAATATTCTTTTCAATAATTTCTCTTCAGGTTCCTACAATTATAAAATATAATATTTGTTGACGTTACAATAATGGCCAGTTATGTAGTGGATTTTTTATTACTTGGAATAACAGATTAGTTCTGGGGTATCAAAATAAATAGTCGTATTTGTGTGACAAACGTGCTAGGCTGAAGTCGATTACAAAATATTGTAAAACGGGAGACCATGGTGGTGATTAGTCATAATCCATTTGTAGAGTGTGGGGT